TGTCTAGCTTCTGCATATGAGAGAAACAACAACCCTTAACTTTCTAAGCTTCACTTATTTTGCTTAACATGATGATCTTTAGTTCCATCTATTTACCTTCAAATGCCATAATTTCAGTTTTATTTATGGCTGAATAGAATAAACCTCCGTTGTGTATATATATACACCACATTTTCTTATCCATTCATCCATTGATGGACACCTAGGTTGTTCCATAGTTTGGCTCTTGTGAATTGCATTGCTATAAACATGGGTATGCATGCATCACGGTAGTAAGATGCCTTTAATTCTTCAGGGAAAACACTAGAAGTGGTATAGCTGATTCATATGGTGGTTCCATTCCTAGTCTTTTGAGCAACTTCCATGCTGATTTCCACAGTGGTTGTACTAATTTACAGTCCCACCAAGTGCAAATGTGCTCCTTTTTCTCCATGTCCTCTCCAGTATTTATTATTATTTGCATTCTTGATGACTGCCATTCTGACTGGTGTGAGATGAAATTTCAGTGTAATGTTGATTTGCATTTCCCTAATTGCTTATAATGTTGAGCATTTTTTTTTCATGTATTTGTTGGCCACTTGTATTTCTTCTTTTGAGAGGTATCTGCTTAATTCATTTGTCCATTTATTAATTGGATTATTTGATTTTTTGGTGTAAATATTTTTGAGCTCTTTATATACTCTAGATATTAATCCTCTGTCACAAGTAGAGCTAGCAAAGATTTTTCTCCCATCCTGTGGGGTCTCTTAATCATTTCCTTTGCTATGCAGAAGCTTTTTAATTTGATGCTGTCCCATTATTAACTCTTAATTTATTCACTGTGCTTTAGGGATCCTATTGAGAATGTCATTGCCTGTGCCTAAAAGCTGGAGTGTTGACCCTATATTTTCTTCTAGAAGTTGCACAGTTTCTGATCTAATTCTGAGATCTTTGATCAATTTTGAGTTGACTTTTATGCAGGATCAGAGATAAGAATTTAGTTTCATTCTTCTACATATGGCCCAGCACCATTTGTTAAAGAGACTGTCTTTTCTCTAATGTATGTTTTTGGCACCCTTGTCAAAAGATCAGATGACTGTATCTGTGTGGGTTTGTCTCTGAGTCTTCAATTCTGTAGCCAAGTACTTTCTTATTGTTATCCATAACACTACCTTGTTTTAAGAGGAGCACACAGTTTGATAGGAATGGCTTCCCCTTTCTAATTTGTTTCTCCTAAGTAGACCTTTTGAGAGAAGCCTTAGCGCTCGCTCTCACTCATGGGCTCACAACCCTCTGTGGAGGCCCTCTATAAAATGCCAGCTGTGTGGTACGTGACCACAGGAACAACAAGGGTAATTCTCTTCTTTCAAAATGGTGACTCCCACCCTCCCCCAATTTCTCTAAGTGTTTCCTTTTGAAGAAAAGCCATGGTTCACTGCTACTGAAAATTAAAGACAACAAAATAAAGATCAAGGTCCAGGCTGGCGCTAGCTAAGGCAGAACATTAAAATCACTACTTGAATTTCTCCCCTCTTGAATATTGACAAAGACTACTAATGGAAAGCCAATCTGGAATGCAAGTTCATTTCAGACATTATTACACTTGTATCCAAAATTATTTTGACTAAAATGAAGAAATGAGGTGGCCTTCAGTTGAGATGAATTAGGAAAGGTAATAACATACTGCTGCTGCTGCTGCTACTACTACTACTACTAACAACAATAACAACAACAACAATAATAGTAATAATAATTGTATGTGGCTTCCTCCACATGAACCCCTCACCACAACATGGAATACCAATAAAAATCCAAGAGCTTATTAGGCAAATATTAGTTGATAAAGTTGAGGAGAGAAAGAACTAATCAACTCTCCCTCCTCCAAGCTACATTTCTAGCTTCTCCAACTGCATGAACCTTGCTGTCTGAGTTTCTCTCTTCTATTTCCCCCTTAGTTCCAGGTTGTATTTAACAATTAGCTTTACACCTTAAGCACCCCAGCCATCCTTCCCAGTTGCCAAACCTACAGTTTCAAGATTATTATTCTTTCTGGCCCCAGTTTGGGGGCTATCTTCAGTTCCCAATCACAAGTTGGCAGGATGTTCCGAGGATATATTCCCAATGCACAACATTTACAAGTGCTGCTATAGCAGTTCAACAAGGTGGGCTCAAGATCCTTCCCCATATAAATATGGAAAATGTCAAGGGTATTTCCAAAGTATGGCAAGCATGTCTCATCAGATATTCAACATGAAAGGAGAAGAATTGCTGATAGAAATCTGTTAGCAGGAAAAAAAGATTGATCAAGTACAGATATTAGCCACATAGATCACCAGTAAATCAGACATTCTCACAAGACAGGTAAAGAGACATGAGAAACAAACAGGAGGGGGAAAAAAAAAACTCTAGGTGAGTCAGTCTCCTCTCTCTCTCTCTCTCTCTCTCTCTCTCTCTCTCTCTCTCTCTCTCTCTCTCTCTCTCTCTTCTCTTAGTATGTTGGACATTTAGAAGCATGAAATTAAAACTCATGAAAAACAGCTTTATCGACTTGCTGTGGTGACTCAAAAGTTGTCGTTTCTCCACTCAACTTTGCTGAAACACTTGATTCATGTTGTTCTTATTTAACCTAATTTGCATTGATTTAATCAGTGCTGGTATGCTTTAAATACATAATAAATTGGGATTCTGCAACTTAGATGACTTGGAATAGCTAAATTTCAATAAAGCTCATTTCAATCTGTTAATGTATACAGTTCTGCCAAGGGGTTTAAAACTGTAGAAAAGATGCAACTTGCCACATTAGAGGTGAGAAAGGTTTAAAGACACTATACAGATGAGATGATTTGTGTGATAATAAGGTGAACAGCCATATATATCTTAATTATAGCCTAGAAGCATCTTCTAAGTTTTGAGTAGCACACTTAGAAGAAAATTCACATATAAATGCAGTGAATTTAATTTTATTCTCTTTCTTTCTTGCCAACACTCAACTCTTTTTGCCTTTCTGTACCAGCTCTACAAATCAAGTGACATCCAAAGTGGGACCTCTTCTTGCCCATTTGGCAGCCTCTGTCACCACTTTGCCAAACTGCATGCATTAGGACGATTTTCTTCCTAGCAGCCATAGGGATTGGGTGGCTTGTATGCACTGTATTTGCTGAGTGGCTGGCTGCTGTTTACCCCAGCCTGTGCCTGAACAACCCCCTCTTCCCCAACCCTTTAGACTTTATGGCTTAATCAGCCAGCCTGCTGTCAGGAATAATTGTTTTGGCAAGAGGTGAAACTACTTGATGGTGAAATTGTTTGTCTGTCTGTTAAAGTGTTCTGCAGCACCTTAGAAGTGCCAGGACAAAATCTGCAAATGCCCAGTCCAAAGTTAGAAGCAAGAGTGAGAAGAGACAACCATCAGGAATAGCATAGGAAGAACAACACTTATGGAGAGATAACAAAAGAAAACATCTGTGCCAGTAATAAGCAGTATGACCTTGGATAATCCCCTGATGTCTCCTGGCCTCAGTTTCGTCATGTGCAAAATGAAGGGGGTTGATTTTCTAATGTCTCTTCTAGCTCCTAAGACAGCATGTGATGTCTAGGACATTTCAAATTTGTGTTCTTTTCAATTAAATGATCCATCTCAAAGATAAATGACCAGGGCAGAGCATAGTTGAATACAAAATGGAATGATTCATGCCCCTATTCATATGACTTTTCCTGAAAAGTCCCACCAGTCTTTAGTGACTTTAATTCCATTGGTTGGTCTCTCCATCTTGGCTGTTAAAGGACACTCAAATTGCTTGACCAATCTGCAAGTGGAACCTGGAATCTGGTAATCCACCTTCCATCCTATCAAAATGAACATGATAGATGTGCCCACACTTTAAGTTCCTAGAGGCAGAAATGATGGGAATTCAAAGAGAGGAGCTAGAGATTCACATCCTACTACCTTTTATGATCATGATGGTCAAGAAGGTAGGCTTACCCACATTCACTTCCCACCTGCTTACTCAGCCATCCTGAGGATTTTTTTTTTTTTTTAAGATGATCAACAGCCCCGGCAGACTAAATAGAAGACAGGGAGAATTTATTCATTGTAAAGACTCCTACATACAATTAGGAGTGGAATAAACAGACCAGGGCTTCTCTTTATAATTAGGAGAGATACAACACAATTTAGTACACTCTCAAAGCTTAATCAGGAATCCTCATCAAGGAAGAGGGGAATTCATTATGGTTTAAACTACCTCTTTCCTACCCATTCTCTAGGACATTCTCCTGGGGTGAGGCGTATTGCAGGGCTGTGCAATCATCACGAACAGCACATGTCAGAGTTAGTCTTCCCCATGCCATACAGCAGAATCTTTATTCATCTACTGTGTGCCCCACAAATACCTATGTAGTCTGATGAAACCCCAGCAGGATCTCATGCAAGCCTCCTTGTACACAGATATGTTTTGCCATACTGGATCTCACATCACTGGGACTGGGATGGCGTCCCAAAACAGATGGGTTTGGAAAGCATTCCCCCATCACCACCAAAAAGGGCTGGCTCACTGCAGAACTCCAGCGCCCGCAAAGGGAGAAGGAAAAAAAAATCATAGCCAAGCCCCAAATTATTGCCTTTCTGTGTCTTCTCTCAAGTTGCTTTTGTAAAGCAAAGGGCCAGATTCCTACGTACCTTTTACACGTAGACAGCTTTGAAGGGGGAAAAATATTTTTCCAAAAGGGACAGGGGAGAGCACAGAATATTTCAATTTCCCACTTGGAAATATCTTGTCATTGATAAGGCTACCTCTACCCCCTCCCCTTCCTCTTTTTTTAAATATGGACAAAAAAAGCTGAAAGTGTTTTCCATTTCATCAAAGAACATATATTACTTTAGTGGTTCGGTAAAATGTTGGTTTTATGCCCACCCCTTTTCCATCTGCCCATGTCTGAGGTGCTCCGGGAAGACGCACAATCGTGAGCAGCTTACGACACTCAGTGAGCAGTAGGTGCCTGTGCAAGCTCGCGCCGCACACTGCCTGGCGGAGGGAAGGAGCCCGGGCGCCGCTCGCCGCTCCCCACGCCACCGCCCGCGCCGCCCGCCGCCCGCACCACCCCGCCGCCCCGCAAAGCATGAGCGAGCCTGCTCTCCGCAGCTGCCCAGGGCGCGAATGGCAGGCGGTCTCCGCGGAGTAAAAGGTGGCGCCGGTCAGTGGTCGTTTCCAATGACGGACATTAACCAGACTGTCAAATCCTGGGGAGTCGCGAGCCCCGAGTTTGGAGTTGTTTTTTTTTTTTCCCCCACAACGTCACAGTCCGAACTGCAGAGGAAAAGGACGGCGGCAGGAAGGCGAAGCCCGGGCTCCGGCACGTAGTTGGGAAACTTGCAGGTCCTAGAAGTCGCCTCCCCGCCTCGCCGGCCGCCCTTGCAGCCCGGAGCCGAGCAGCAAAGTGAGACATTGTGCGCCTGCCAGATCCGCCGGCCGCGGACCCGGGCTGCCTCGGAAACACAGAGGGGTCTTCTCTCGCCCTGCATATAATTAGCCTGCACACAAAGGGAGCAGCTGAATGGAGGTTGTCACTCTCTGGAAAAGGGTGGGTAAGACACTTTTTAATTAAATTCTTTCCCGAAGATTTTTTTTTTCCTCCCTTTTCTTTGCTGCAGCATCTAACATGGACCAAATCACCATCTCTTTGATCTTTCCGTGGCTGTGAACTTTCTATGCCGCCCAGCTTTCTGCATGCTTAGAGGTGAACGTGTGGTTTTTGGGGAGGGGGGTCCTTCTTTATTTCTATATATTTATTTGATTTTTGCCCTTTTCTCCCCCTCCCCCCTCCCGCTCCCCCTCCCTCGGAATAAAATATGATGTAGATTTCTGACCGAGCGCTTCCAATGGACATTCTCCAGTCTCTCTGGAAAGATTCTCGCTAATGGATTTCCTGCTGCTCGGTCTCTGTCTATACTGGCTGCTGAGGAGGCCCTCGGGGGTGGTCTTGTGTCTGCTGGGGGCCTGCTTTCAGATGCTGCCCGCCGCCCCCAGCGGGTGCCCGCAGCTGTGCCGGTGTGAGGGGCGGCTGCTGTACTGCGAGGCGCTCAACCTCACCGAGGCGCCCCACAACCTGTCCGGCCTGCTGGGCTTGTCCCTGCGTTACAACAGCCTCTCGGAGCTGCGCGCCGGCCAGTTCACGGGGTTAATGCAGCTCACGTGGCTCTATCTGGATCACAATCACATCTGCTCGGTGCAGGGGGACGCCTTTCAGAAACTGCGCCGAGTTAAGGAACTCACGCTGAGTTCCAACCAGATCACCCAACTGGCCAACACCACCTTTCGGCCCATGCCCAACCTGCGCAGCGTGGACCTCTCGTACAACAAACTGCAGGCACTCGCGCCCGACCTCTTCCACGGGCTGCGGAAGCTCACAACGCTGCACATGCGGGCCAATGCCATCCAGTTCGTGCCCGTGCGCATCTTCCAGGACTGCCGCAGCCTCAAGTTTCTCGACATAGGATACAATCAGCTTAAGAGTCTGGCGCGCAACTCTTTTGCCGGCTTGTTCAAGCTCACGGAGCTGCACCTGGAGCACAATGATTTGGTCAAGGTGAACTTCGCCCACTTCCCGCGCCTCATCTCTCTGAACTCGCTCTGCCTGAGGAGGAACAAGGTGGCCATTGTGGTCAGCTCGCTGGACTGGGTTTGGAACCTGGAGAAAATGGACCTGTCTGGCAATGAGATCGAGTACATGGAGCCCCATGTGTTCGAGACAGTGCCGCACCTGCAGTCCCTGCAGCTGGACTCCAACCGCCTCACTTACATCGAGCCCCGCATTCTCAACTCCTGGAAGTCACTTACAAGCATTACCCTGGCGGGGAACCTGTGGGACTGCGGGCGCAACGTCTGTGCCCTGGCTTCTTGGCTGAGCAACTTCCAGGGGCGCTACGATGGCAACTTACAGTGCGCCAGCCCGGAGTACGCACAGGGCGAGGATGTCCTAGATGCCGTGTACGCCTTCCACCTGTGCGAGGATGGGGCCGAGCCCACCAGCGGTCACCTCCTCTCGGCAGTCACCAATCGCAGTGACCTGGGACTCCCTGATAGCTCGGCCACCACGCTCGTGGACGACGGGGAGGGGCAGCGCGATGGCACGCCCGAGCCAGCCACCGTGGCTCTCCCCGGCGAGCACGCTGAGAATGCCGTGCAGATCCACAAAGTGGTCACTGGCACCATGGCCCTCATCTTCTCCTTCCTCATCGTGGTCTTGGTGCTGTACGTATCCTGGAAGTGTTTCCCAGCCAGCCTCAGGCAGCTCAGACAGTGCTTTGTCACGCAGCGCAGGAAGCAAAAGCAGAAACAGACCATGCATCAGATGGCTGCCATGTCTGCCCAGGAATACTACGTTGATTACAAACCTAACCACATTGAGGGAGCCCTGGTGATCATCAACGAGTATGGCTCTTGTACCTGCCACCAGCAGCCCGCGAGGGAATGCGAGGTGTGATCCTCCCAGTGGCTCTCAACCCATGCACTACCAAAAACGCCTGGGCAGCCGGTCGGGCCGGCGGGCACCAGGCTGGGGTCTCCTTGTCTGTGCTCTGATTTGCTCCTTGACTGAAACTGTAAGGGGATCTCTCCCAGAGACTTGACATTTTAGCTTTATTGTGTCTTAAAAACAAAAACGAAATAAAACACAACAAAACCCCACCCCACAACCTTCTGGACAGTCTATCTTAAATTTCATATGAAAACTCCTTCCTCCCTTTGAAGATCTGTCCATATTCAGGAATCTGAGAGTGTAAAAAGGTACCAATCATTGATTTTTTTTTTTGTAAACTAAAACGTTTAAAATAAAATAGCATTTACAGTTTTTACAGACTGGTGTAACCTAAATGAATTGTTACCTGTGTTACAAGAGAGAAGCAACAGTTACAATTTCCTTTGGATGGGGGAGGGGGAGGGAGGATACTGCCAGTGGAAGAATCAAGGAATCAAGAAGCAAAGTAGGCAGAGTCTATTTAAATGTTAAAAAGGGCAAACAAAGCTTAGCAGTGTAATAATACAGATTAATTTACCCCACATGAGTAAAGACTGAAAAAAGCAAGATCTTTTATATTATCGGGGAGTGGGCAGTGTAATCTGACCATTATAAAGCAAGTGAAAGGTGGACTGAGGACTGGTCATTATTACTCAGCTTTTGAGGCAATGATCATTGTAAATGGCTTTTAAAAGGCAATGCCAGACAGTTTGTCCTATGAGCAAGAAACATTTTTGCACTTAATGTAACCATCTTTCAAATCATCTCAGAATTTTAACTACAAATGCCACTTGTTCATAATTCTTCTCTGCCTTTGATTCAGTAGAACTCATAGCACTGGTGCCCTTTTTCATGCCCTCCGATATTAAAGAGGGTCCCTCAGCTCCTGCTCTCTGTGGTTTCACTGAAAAGGAAGCAGAATCCCTATGTTCAGGACTGAAAGCTGTGTTTCTGGAGCACATTGCTAAGACTGCAGTAAGCTTAAGCTCCTAAGCAATGACAGCACACTCCTAGTTACTGTGGGGAAAGAGGAATTCCTGACTCAGGATGAATGCCTGCAGGGTAATGACTTGTAGCAAGAGAATTTAGGGACAGACTTGATACAGCAGGGATGGGGGTGGGGTGAGAGAAGATCATCATTTGATTCTGTGTTTGCATATTACTGAGATGGGAATAATTTGTTAACTCGGGGCAGAAAAAGCTGCCTCTTCTCAGATGGCCCTTTTGGGTAATGCTTGCTTTCCCTGTTTTTCACTTTTGTTCTTTGTTGGGATTATTGGTTGCTCCTTCCCACCCTCATAGGTTTTCAGGTTCATCACTGCGATGTTAGCTTTTTATTAAACTCAATTAAGAGTGAGGAGGCGGTGGTGGTGGTAGTTAGTGGCTTCTGAGAAGGGCAAGGGGAGGGGTGTACGTATTGGATGGAAGGGTCTTTCACCAGCTAACAATTTAATCAGATGTATGATTGAAATAAAGTATCATGGATGGCAGATGGTGAACACTGAACCAATCAGTCCATGTCCAGAAGTATTTTTCTCACCCCTCTAAATGATACTAAAGACTGGCATCTCTTTCTATTTCTACTCCCCCCCACACACACACATTTTAAGAGATAAGTCCAAATAGCAGGAAGTGGGATGAGGAACAAACACAACACCATCCCCCAAAATGCAAATGCCTCTAGTCACCAACCTAAAGAGGCAAAATCAGCTTTTTGAAATGCAGAACAGTATCACTATATGGTTTACTTAAGCTGAAGATTAATTGTAGATTTTTCTTCTGCCTATAGAGAAACCAATATGCCTAAAACTGTGGCTTCTATGAGGCTCTTGCAAGAGAAATATTTTTGCAAAGATCTTTTAAGATGTTAAGCCTTGAGAGACATGAGAGACAGCTTCTCTCTCTCTCTCTCTCTCTCTCTCTCTCTCTCTCTCTCTCTCTCTTCCCCCTCATATCTCTCTCTCTCCCTTCTCCCCTCCCCCACTCATTCTTTCTGACCAGCAAACTTCATCTTGCTTTGTTTATAATTGAGACATGACTTTATGACACATTCCATGTACATAACACCCATTCAGACTGTTAATGTTCTAGGAGAGAAGGGCTTCAAAAACTTTGAAGGTGGGTTTTGGATTTAGTTAAAGCATAATCATTTGGAATTGCCACTCTAAACAGCATATCACTTGGAGGGCAGGAGTAACAGGAACAAGGATGTGCCTCCTATCTATAATTAAACTGCAATAAAGAGACCTCCTCTAAAAGAGTGCATACCATTTTTTTTTTTAAATTTTGGCTCTTTTTAAAGAAAGACATTCCCAAATTGTGGCCACTGAAGGAAGATTCCGTTAACTTAACCTCCTCATAGGAAGGTTACAGGAATGCATTGCCAAAAGCTGCTCTTGCTTGTCGCATGGAAGGGTTGTGCTGGTGTGCTTATAGGGAAAGCTTCCAGGAGCAAAGATTTTCTGGCAAACATCAGAACTACAGGTTCCCCAAAATCCTCTAGAAAAAAATGGACATTGGAAACTAATTTATTTCCTATTCCCAATTTTATTTTGTACTTTTAAAAAATGTAGTCAGGAGAAAAAGAGAATAATCATGCTTTTTTTTTCTGCTTTTCCCCTACTCCATGACTAAAATATCATGTATTTGAAAGACCTTAAATCCATGGAAATCTAATGAAAGATCTTTGGAAAAAGGAATCTACCATCTGGGACTTTGGGAGCAAATGATAGCCATGGAAAGCTGTGTTCTTAATTTGTGTGTGTGTGTGTGTGTGTGTGTGTGTGTATGTGTGTGTGTATGTGTGTGTGTATGTTTCTGTAATGGTATGTATTTGCAGGCAAGCAAATATGTTTTCTAAACATAGTCATCTAGTCCTATCTCTTACTAGAGGATTTTGGACTAGAGAAATTTAGCTCACACATCCTTTCATGGTCCTGTGCCTCTTACTTTGAGAAGGGCAGAGCAGGGAGAAGCCAAGAATAAGGGAGAATGGTAGTTTTAACTAAGGTTTTGTGACACTTTTTTTTTCTCAAATTAATTAATCTTTAAGCTTCAAGAAACTTGCTCTGACCCCTCTAAGCAAACTACTGAACATTTAAAAGGGGATCTAATTTTTAAAGGTATAGCACTTTTTTTTTCTTCCCACAGAGGGTGCTAATCTCATTGTCCTGTACTATCTGAAAAGAATTTAAGGCCACAATTCACGTCTCATCCTGGGCATTGTGATGGATTAACCCCCCCCCCATTTGCAGTTGCTTCCCAGCTGATTAAAGTTCAGCAATGGTATTGAGGTTTTTCAAGTATTTATATAGAAAAAAGTATTTTCCAATGACAAATGATGCTCTCACATCAGGCTTAGCTCTGGTAGTTTCTTAGGTTGTACCAGAGGAGAAGGTTAAATGAAACCAATTTTTTAACAGTTCTCAAAGGAAAGGAAGCCCTTGACATAAGACACAGCCAGAGATAGTTGGGACCACCTGTCCCACAACATATACCATATGCTATAAAGTTGCCATCATACAGAAAAGATTATTTCAGTAAAAGGAAATTTTTTTTTTAAATCACTTTTCACATTTTCCCAGGCTCCTCAAAGTACAAGAGTACCTTACCTTTTTTTCCCCCCAGCTTTCAGGAAGGCAGACATTTGGTATGACTTAGCATCAACAACACATTTATGAGTATGTGTAAGTAATTAAAGGGGCAAACACCACTTGTTATTCCTCCCAAGTTTCCTAAGCAACTGCACACAGATCACACAGATCACTGGCAGGATTAGGGGCCACCTGTGTTTCTAATTTGTATTAATCAACTTGTCAGCAAGTCTGACACCTGTTCTATTCTGTCATGGCCAAATAGCAGTGGCCACCAGTGGATCCATATTCTGATGAAATGAAAGTCGTCAGACATTCTCTCACAGAGAAAATTCTCCAAGCACCAGAATTTTTATCTGTTTTTGGAGAATGAGTTATTATAATGTTTCAGGGAAGTCAAGATAAATGTCAATTAGATGGATTGTTATAGTTAATTTGAGTTTGCCAATACATGTATTTAGTTAGAATGAAACTATTAAACTTGGAGGAGGTTTACGGATACATATACACATTTATCTAATCATCTTCACAAATATAACCACCCCCACACATGCACACACATATTTTCGTATACAAAAGTAAACATGTACATACATACTTATTGATAAATATCCATACATATAAGAACACACACATAGATAGGTACCACCACATTACATAACTACCCAGAACTTCTTTCCTTCTCCTGTGATCAACTTTACTTAAGAAAAGATGTGATAAAACCAATCTGATGGAGATATAAAGGACTGTTATGGTTGATACCATTTTCAGGCATTAGTTATAAGTTGGTACTGGCTTTGCAGGCTGGGGATCCTCTGCACTCTTTGTGCCATGGCAGAGTATACACACCTGTTGTCTAGTGGTGAGAACCAGCAAATGTAAATGCACTCTCAAGAGTACTTTGCACCTCAGTGGTAAGAAAAATATTTTTTTCCACTTAAAAATGCTCTACCCTTGATAATTTTTCTTGAGATCCAGGAGCAAAATTCTTACTCTGACAGGAAACCACCTCCTGACTTTCCTCCAATGGACACGATTTGTCAAAGTTCTGGATTTTTGCTGAAAGTGAAAGGGTTGGCTGTTGTATCCTTATGGTTTAGACAGAGATGTAGAAGAGATGGATAAATAAAATTGCCTGAGTGTTTGCTTGAAATGGGTGCCTTTACCTTGATCTCACTATGGGAGTGGATATCAGCAACCTTAGAGGTCAGGTGCTTGTTCAGTTTCTCAGCTAATGATTCAGAGTGTTGGTTTTCAGTTTGCTGGACTTTTCACTGTGCAATTTTTCCCTTGAATGGTTGTCCCCTCCACTCCCATGCCCAACAAAGAGCCTAGACTGGACACAAAGACATATTTAGCACAAGCTTGTTGAATGATATAAGTGCAATGTTCAAATAAGTGGGCAATGTAGAACTCTATCAACACAGGGGATCTTTCTTCAGCTTCCAGGAGAAGAAATTGCTAGTGATCATCTAGTCCTATCTCTTACTAGAGGATTTTGGACTCAGACAGGCATAGACATCCATATGTTACTGTCAAGGATTTATTCACATTTCTTTCTTGGTGATCACATGGACTATGTGTCTATGTCAGAAATTCTCAACCAGGAGCAAATTTGTCACCCAGTGGACATTCATTTGGTAGTGTCGGGATACATATTAAAATTTTGTATATGG